TCTATTTCTATCTCATTCTGTCTTCAATTAATTCTTATTTTTGTTTAAAAAATAAATTATCATTAATTAAGTTTAAAAGAGGGTTCCATTGAATTTTGCTTATTATTAATAAATCATCGTGACGTTATTTTAAAAAAAAAAAAATGTATCGAAGAAAGTATTAATAAACTAATAAATTATTATTAATAAATCATCGTATCAAAGAAAGTATCAGTCGTAATTCTCTTAGATTAGTGTTTGTTTAGTGTTGGAGTCGCACTTTCTTTTTATTTTATTTCATCAATTCAAGGTTTACTCAGTTAGCCAGCATTAAGTTCTATTCCAGATCTGCCTATTCAGCTTCAAACAGCTTCAGCTCCACTAAGATTAAGTTTCATTCAAGCTGACATTAAACTCATTGTATTTTCAATTATGTAATTTAAAATTTTAGCTTGTAATAAACTTCTTGTGAAGGAAGCTAAGCTTCATGTGATCGTTATGGATGATCGCTACTTCTGAGATCATGGGTTTCTTGGGAACTTTTGCCAGCATCTCTATTAAAAATATTTTATATCTTGTCACCGAGAGATAGAGATCATATATATATATATATATATAATATTATAAGCCTATTAATCCCTTTCAGTCACTCTTTCTACAACAAGCTAATGTTGAAAAACATGATAAGCCTAAGTCTAAAACGACATCTCCTCCTCTGTTTCCAGATCCATCCAAGTCTTTCAATCGTTCAAGTGTTTAAGATTATGTACTGATGTAGTTTCCTCCTCTTATTTATTTATTTTTCCTCTCGATGAAAATGTCTTGACAGACAAAGGGGGCTGGGTAGAGCAAATACAGTTTGTAGTAATAGAGAGAGAAATATGATTTTATTATTTGAACATAAGCTTTAAATTACAACATATTAGGTTACAGATATTAAAGCATGAGATACAGATCTTCTTTATTTTTAGTTGAAGAAACTAATCCAATCGGAATAGTTTAAGAGGATCATTTACATTTTCTGTTCGAAACTTTTAGAGACATTGAGTTAAAGATTAAGCAATCTTATTGAGGAACTTAATAAACCATTTGGCCGATGCTTTAGGTCGTCTATATGATGGATCGCTATAATTTACATAATTTATACCAAATCGTATTGTAAATCCTTGAATGAATTCATAGTTGTCTAATAATGACCATGCAAAATATCCTGAGACCTTACTTCCTTTCTTGTAAATAAATAAAGAATTAAATATAAGAATCATCAATTTTATTGTACAATAATTTTTGATGTCATATATATAAATTTGTGTATGTGTGCATTACGGTAAGTGCTATTATGCTTTATAATAATTAAAGATACTTACTTGATAGCTTTTTTAAGAGCTAAAAGATGAGTCTTGTAGTAATCAATTCGACCAAAATCATTTAGAGTTTCACGCAGTGGTATTGAGCTAGTGTCAGCATAACCTAAAATAAAAAAAATTATTTATTATTTACTTAAAAAATTATTCATATAATACATATATATATTGATCAATATAGAAATATATATCTTTTCGATTGTAAGATTTGCTCTAGCAAGTAGAAATAGTAATGCAAACCCATTAATATAGTCTTGCAGCCTTACCGATCCTTAATATGGTAAAGGATAGATTAAACTCAACATAATTCAAGAAAGGAGGTAATGAAAAAAAAAATCAGCCCCATCTCTCATTATATACTACCCCTGTAACGGCCCTAGAAATTTAAATGAAATATATGTATTAAAAATATCAAATGCGGAAGCGTAATAAAAATTTTGATTAGTATCCCTTACACAATAACTGAAACGAACTCAAAACATAAAAAAACAAACTAACTAAAAGAGATACTTGAAATAAGAACTATAAATATAACTATGGAGTCTTTAGGCGTCCCCTTCGCCGTCTTCCTGCGAAACGGGCTCGGGAACAATGTCTTCCTGATCTGAAATAGTTAAATAAGGAATGAATTACACCAGCCCAGTAAAGACATCACACTATCTCACCGCCACGGAAGTAAAGGTGGGTATAAAACAAAATGACCAATGGAGCATAATTTATAACAAATTCTTTTATCAATAATAAAATCCTTTACTGTCCACTTACCTCAGCGAGATCCATGAAAACAACATCTGAAAATAATAACCTTACAATATCATGAAATCATATACACTTTATAACACAACATATATCACACCTTTACATTTCAATCATCAGGAAACAGATTTCCTCTTTTACCAGCCTACTAGTATCCCTGGGGATCCATAGGGGGTCCCCTCTACACATGAACCATTAACATTCACAACCTGATTCCAGGGCCGTCCCCATACCCTGTCCGGTATGGGCGCCAAAACCATGAACCTCAATACCCCGTCCGGTATGAGGGTGAAACGGGCCGTCCCCATACCCCGTCCGGTATGGGCGCCAAAACACATAAGGTCTCCATACCCCGTCCGGTATGAGGGTGAAACGGGCCGTCCCCATACCCCGTCCGGTATGGGTGCCAAAACACATAAGGTCTCCATACCCCGTCCGGTATGAGAGACCACGTTCCCAGTAGGGTTCCCTACGGATCCGGTCCATCTACCATCTCCCAGGATATCTAGTCAGACTGTACATATTACCCATTTATCAATTCAGATAATCTTTTTGCCTTTTTCCTTGATCTCAATCATCCAATCATACACAACATGTAAACCAGTAATTGACACCAAACATGACAACACAGTATCGGGTTAATCATAATATCAACCATAATAAAAGAAATCATGATTCATGCATACGAGACCATAAAATAAATACATCAGACATCATGCTGTATTTAATATTGGAAATTAAATCAAACAATAACAGGCCAACACAGTATCAGACTCGAGCTCCATTGGCAACCTTAATTAATTATACATCTATAAAGTCACACAGTACAGTTTAATTATTTATTTAGCTTTAATACCGTGATAGAAAATAGGGTGAGGGGTCCTTACTTGTTTCGGGGTCTGAATACGGCTCTACAGTGCGCCTACAGGCTGTCCTTAATTTTCCTGAATTTTTTCTGAAAAACTGAAATGCACTACCGGTACCTGCACGTGTCCCAAAAAATTCCAAATCAGACCTAGGGCCCCTTTCGGCCAATATCGCAATTCCGGCACGGCTACTCCGCCGTGCTCCGGCGACGGGCGGCGGCGATTCACCTCGGGTTGGCCGTTTTCGATCGAATTCGGCCACATTTGCATCGGTCCCTGCGATAAAACAACCCTAGGGCCCTCGGTGGGCCAAAAACTCAAGAAAAACCAAAACTTATCTGCGGCGGTGCTCTCGGGTGTGGCGGCTCCTTTGGCGTGAGTTGCGTTTTGATGTTTGGCTCCGATCAACCTATAGAGAAAAGAACGATGATTACAGTGGTATAAAAATTGCATCGAACGGAGGCCAGGAAGGGCCTCATCGGAGGCAAAAATCGAGGAGGGGTGCGGCGGCACCGCTGGGCTTCGGCTGGGTTTTTCGGCCGTTTGGCCGGTGGTTTGGCTCCGATTTGGCCAAAGGCGGACTTAGCATCGAAAAACGAGCAAGGGGGAGAAAATTTACCTCGATCAGCAGTCGAAAACTTCCCCGGTGCGGCGGCGGGTGGCGGCGGCCGGCTCCTCCGGCGTTTGGTTCTTCTTCGGTGAGGCACTAGCGGCTAGGATTTTTGTGGTCAAGTTTGGGTGGGGTTATTTATACCCTTTGCCTTTTAATCTCAACCTTCCATCAAGATTAAATCTGGACCGTTCGATTGCGATTTAATTGGGATTAAATCTGAGCCGTCTATCGCGATGCAATCTGGGCTGTCCGTGCCTGATTGAATATGGGCCGTCCGTGCGCGTGAATCTGGGCCGTCCGTGCGCGCGGGAACAGATCTGGGCCGTTCGATCGCGCGCACGCGGATCGCTACGTGGCCCGTCCCCTGGTCAACGTTTCCTTGCCACGCGGCGCGTCCTGGTTGGCCGGGGCTGCTGACCGGGCCGCTGACGTGGCTGCTGACGGGCACAACTTTTCTAAATTACGTTTTGACCCCCCAGTTTCTGATTTTCTTTTCAAAAATACCCCCAGAATCCAAATTTTCACCCATTTTTTCTAAAATCAATTTCAATTAAATCCAAATAATATTTTA